TTACACTTTCGAATGCTTAATGTTTTCTTTTTGCCTGCCTTAACCAGGTAGCCTTCTGTCAATTTGGTGCAAACTTGCCAAAATTCTTCTGCGTCTGGCTTTGTTTGCGGGTGTGTATCTTACTACAATTGCAGAACACAGTGGTATTGTTCCAGATCTCCAAGTGCTTTGTGTGACGGCTATCAAACAGATCCCAATCGGTCTCTGCAATCACATTCCCATGCTGGAGCTGCTGGGTCAGGCTATTGAGTCAAAAGCTCAGGGCGGACTCCTTCAAGCAAACTCCATACTACCCACTGTCTTGTGGGTCAGACTATTGAGCTAAAGGCTCTGGCGGGAGTCCCTCAAGCAAACCAGATCATTCAATTCCTTGTGGGTTAGCCTTTTGAGCCAAATTCTCCGGTTGGAGTCCCCCAGTCAACCTCCAGAGCACAACCGCCTCCAAGCGGGTGATTGCCCGCCAGTTCAATCGTATGTCTGCGCGCGAAGCGCACATTACTGGAGCGGAACTCGAGTGAGTTGCCCGAGTGCTGCACTGCAGTGTTCGGGATCGAACTGGCGCTCTACCACATCGATATTGCGGTGCTCAGTGAGAACCCAGCTCGCTGAGCAAGGTAAGTTGCATGAAGCTAGAAATGGCTATACGTTATACTGGGTGGGTAACACCACCAAAGCACCACGTGGTCATGGGGTCGGATTTACACCATACGATCGTCTCAGTGGCCAGCTGGTGGCAGAGCCGACTGGTATCAGCGCGCTACTGATGACTTTCCGCCTGCGACTCGGAAGAGGTAAATTTGCCACTTTTATACGCACGTACAGTCCGACCATGGGTTAGCCTGATGACACGCGTGAACAGTTCCACACTGTTAGCCTCTGGGATACAGTCTGTGCCGAAGAGCGACCGACAATTTCTGCTGGGTGACTTCAACGCGCGTTGGGCGTGATGCATCGGTGTGCACAGATGTTATCGGTCCGCATGGCACCGGTCCAGCAAACGAGAACTGTGACAAGCTGCTCTCACTGTGTGCCACTCACGGCCTGACGAGCACGAACACACGTTCTGCACTGGGTGCCAGTGATATACCAACTTAGACGCACCCACGGAGTGGTCACGCTCACCTGCTCGACTATGTCATCGTACGTCAGCGTGCTATGCGTGAAGTGCGCATGACACGTGTACTGCGTGGAGCTGAGTGTGGCAAGGATCACAAGTTGGTTCGGACCCAACTGTACATATATTTCGTAAATCTATGTATTGCACTCCCGCCGTGAATCGGCGTAAATTTAACATTCTCTCCCTCGGTAGTGTGGAGAAACGTACTGAGCTGGAGAAGGCGATGGCTGCACGACTGTGTGCTGTGGAATGCATACCCACAGTGGAGGACCTGTGGCACCACACTTGCGACCATGTAACAGCAGCTGCCGAGGAGACCATCTGGCGCGCAAACAGTAAGCGGCCTGATTGGTTTGATGAGAACAATGCGACGATTGGCGCACTGGTGTCGACGAAGAATACAGCATTTGCTGCACATGTTGCAGACACCAGTGAGTTGGGGAAGAAGAGTCAGTTTCGCAAACTTCGACGGCGTCTGACCCGAGAGATCCGTAGCATTAAAAATGCGTGGTGGACGGAGAAGGCAAAGCAGATGGAATGCTACGCCGAACGCCGCTAACACAAAGAAATCTTTGATTCCTTGAAGGCGGTGTATGGATAAGGTTGGAGCCGCTGGGGACACTGATCGGTGATAGTTCAGGCGCTGCCTGCACACAAACTGCAGACATAATACAGATCTGGCGAAATCTCTTTGACTGTCTCTTGAACAACCGTTCAGAGATCAACTGGCCTAATCTGAACGGCCTGAAACAGCACGATGTGAATGCGAGTCTGGCGGACACGCCGACACTGGATGAGACACAAAGAAGACTTGCTCAGCTGCGAAACGGCAAGTGTGCCGGTTCAGAAGGGGATCCGCCTGAAGTAATGAAACACGGCGAACCTGCGTTGGTGACCGCGATGCTCCACTTTGTGCAAAGCGTGGGGATTAAGCAAAAGGTGCCTCCTTGTTCCCTTGTGCTACCACTGTACAAGGGCAAAGGAAACAAGCAATGTGTCACGAATTATCGTGGCATCAACGTCCTGAGTTTTATGGACAACGTGATAGCCCGAATCCTGCTCTACCGCCTCGCAAGTCAGGTTGTGGTACCGAACGCGGCGGAAGAGCAGTGTGGATTCCGTTCGGATCGCAACACAATCGATAAGGTTTTTGCTGCTCGTCAGTTGCAGAAGAAGTGCAGAGAACGACACCACCCGTTGTATTCGCTTTTTACTGACTTTACCAAAGCATTTGATAAGGTGAACCACGAGGCATTGTGACTGGTGTTGGGTAAGTTTGGTTGTCCGTGCAAGTTTGTAAGTTTAATTGTATGTCTGCACATGGTATGCGGACGAGGGTGCAGCTGATTGGAGAGACCTCTGATGACTTTACAGTTGTCTCTGGTGTGAAGCAAGGCTGTGTCTTAGCTCTTGCCGTGTTTACTATTTATCTTCATTCAATGATGTGCTTTTGATATCGCTTGTGCTTGCGGTGTTCATGTGGATTACCCTTCTGATGGAGGATTGCTGAACATCCGTTGTTCCGGTGCGAGAACTCTAGTCTGTGAGACAACTATCCTTATGTTGCTGTTCGCTAACGACTGAGCTTTGTTTGCACACAGTGCAGATGAGTTGAAGCACATGACTAGTGCTCTGGATTCGACATCAGTCAAATTCGGGCTCACAATCAGCACAAACAAAATTTTCTGTCTCTTTCAGCCTTCACCGGAGGTGCAATCGGCAATGGTGCCACGAATCAGCATTGATGATGAGTTATTGGAAACCACCTCCCGCTTCTGCTACATTGAGAGTGTTATTTCGACTGACTAGTAGCTGCACAGTGAGCCGCATCTCCGAGTATCGAAGGTAACGGCGGCATTCTGATGTGGAATAACCACCAGCTTACCATCGGCACGAAGCTGATGGTCTACAAATCGATGGTGCTGTCCGTTCTTCTATATGGCAGTAAAACCTGGACGATGTACCGGTGAGATATGCAATATCTCGAGCGGTTCCATCAGCACTGTTTGCGACGGATTCTGCACATCACTTGGTGCGACGGATTTGCGGACACGGAAGTGCTGCGTTGAAGTGCAATGTATCCAGTGGACTGTACACTGTTGCGGCGACACCTTAGATGCCTCGGTCATATATGTTGTATGTATTTGACGCGGGTACTAAAACTGTTATCATGTCTCCGTGTATTTTTTAACCTCATAATAACGTTTAGCTGAATCATCTTCTATTAATTTGCACATGTTGATTAAACCAGTTGTGGTTAAGCTCGCTAACATGTTCAAGTTTGTGGCATTTTCTTAAAACATATTTTCTGACTTCTTGAATCTACCGAGAATTTGTTGATGACCACACTAATATGTATGCTGGTTTAGCGATGAGCTACCTCATGGTATCTGTATACATTATTCCATTTATTTTATTTCGTATCTTCGTTTCAGCTGATTAGTCATTGCATGATATTCCCGGGGTGGCTGCACTTGATGTGCATGTTGACTACGTGCCTACCTGTCTAACACTATCCACTTCGACTGCTGGCTCCAGGAGATTGAACGGTTGCTGGTGGTTGCACGGTCCTCATGGCTGTGCTAGGCTCAAAGAATGGTTCCATTCAGTGTGGAGCGGACTACGGTCCAGCCAGTGCCTTAGATGCGCTTGATTCCCCAAATAGAGTGTGCTTGTGTTTGCCTGTGAATGAATTTGTGCCTGCTCCGAGTATGATACGTGGCTCCCATCCGCATGCCTCCCGGTCTTATTCCTTCGGGTTTACACTGGATATGTGGTGCGTGGGTGGAGCTGTGGGTGGCGCAGCGCAAGCCATCCATGGTCCCTCTGTAGGCGCAGGCGTCCTGTGACTGTTCATGTGAAGGCCACAGTGACAGTCAAATCCGGAATCGGATACCGCCAATCATATATTAACCTGAGAAACTGCACTACCCGATGCTGAACGTGGGTTCGGTACTTGTAATTGGTCGCGAGGAACGGCACGCATTTGTGCGCGTGCTCAAGCTTTGATATAACTTGATTCCGTTGTGGACTAACACGATTTGCTTCAGGAGGATTTTGATTCCGTTATGGATTCATTTGGCTCGGAAAGCGTATAGACTAGTGGACGACCGAAGTCCGAATACCGATGGCTCTACTACCACCTGTTCGAGTTTGACCACGCTTATGCCGCTTACATTGCGCGGGCCAATCTTCGGTGTGACGACTGCTTGCTATACACCTCCTAAAACACTATCGCTCTGTAGCAACCTGAGTTCCAGTGCATACTTATTCCAATGATATTGACTGAGTTCCCATTTGTCAAAACAGACAGCGCGCATTTATATGCGTGTGCATGAACAGGATCCATTTTTATTGCGTTATGGATTATGGCGCGTAGTGTTAGAGAGGAACATGAATTGCATAAGAATAATTTCTGTTGTACTGTGGATGCAAATTGCTGCGAAAGCTGTAGACCAGTGCGGAGCTCAATGGTCGATTCCCGAGACAAACGAGGCAGCGTATTATTCCTCGCGGGTAGCTAAAGAAGTGTATTCATTTAAGATACCAGATCAATTAGTAAGTTTTCTGTCCGTAGTGGGTTTCGAGAGAGCTGGTGAGCCAAGTGGCTATATCTTACGTATGGTTGCGATTTTCCGAGATGCCGTCAACGGTCATTGTAATGCCGATATTCTCGCTTACATAATTCGCTATGGGTTCATTGCGTGATGCGTGCAAAGTGGCCGAATCGAAAGTTACTCTGCACTCTTATACCGTGACCAAATATATTTGTTACGATGGAAAGGAAATGTAGACAGTCAACAGGAGGTCAGAAGTTACCCACTCCGGAATGCAAATTAAAGCAATGAAGGTATTGCAGCTGGACTGGTATATTCTGAAAAATTCAATTAGGATTAACTATCTTAATAACACAACCCCAATGAAGCTGCTCCACTTGCAAGATGGATTCCGGAACAGCTACTAGTACCCCAGGCTGTCTTGGTGACGGTATTCGAAAGTCAAGCTTTTTGTAATCTTTTCCGGTAAGCAGATAAAACTCTGACTGGACGGGATGCGCTGTGACAGATGGTAAAAGTATGTCTCCAACGCAGCGTGGTTTGTTAGAAAACGCGTTTCCGTTCCTCCATTGGGTAATAATAGCGTAAACTACAGTACGGAGCAGTTTCTGGGGGAACAAAGGTCTCACACGGAATGGATGAATCGCACTCTCGTTTCCGGGTTCCCAAAAAGGAATGGATGCATCTATCACTGGCTCACTTTTAGAGGTGTACCTGAAAAATAAACATCCATCCTTAATTCGATCGTAGTGGTAGAAGCAAGAAAGCGCTATAAATTGGATTATTTAACTACCACATTAAAATCGAAAGATATAAGATGCGATATGTCAACACCTCGAATGTTAACAACAGTAAACACTATATATATATATATATATATATATATATATATATATATATATAGTCGATTCCGGTTAATCGGACCACATCGGGACCAGACCATTTTGGTCCTATTAAGCGGCTGGTCCGATTAACCGAAGTTACCCGATGTAACAAGATGGGACGTGCTATACATAACATAGGAAACTACTATTATGACCTGTATTAGCGGCATATATTTATAGCAAACACACAAAAAGAACTGCCTTGATAACGAACTTTGTTCACTGAAAAAGAAATTTACAAACAAATTCTTCGTAACGACCTACAAGATATTCAGCATGCGAAGTACAGTTTTATACAAAGGGATTACCGAATTCCATTCAGCGTTTGAAGACCGTATCCAGTGTGGTTTGACGCATTCTTTTAACAGACTGCATTCGCACAAAATCACCACAAACATGTAACGCAGTAATAGGACTACCTTCATTTCCGTCCTGAATGAAATAGCGGTGCAATGTTTCAATGCATTTCCTTGTATCCTGTTTTGTAACTGGCATCAACACGTTAGGGCTCTCTTCATCACTTCCATGGTCTTCTGTTGCTGTCGTGTGTTTCGCTGCTATTCGAGCAACAATGGCAGCATCGCATTCTTCATTTCCACCATAGAGTTGAAGTTCGTTGTCGATTGACAAAAATTCTTCGTAATTTTCAACTTGTTTCAGCTCCACATTCTCGCCGTCATTTTCATTTACAATCACCATATCCACATCCATCTCCGAGACAATATGCTTAAAGCCACAGTGAGAAAAACAGTTCCGAAGTGTCGCACTGCTCATTTTTCGCCAACTTTCGGCCACGAATGTAACGGCTTGCAAAATGTTGATCTTTGCACTGATTTCTCCGGCCGTCGAGGATGAGGTCAGCAAGCCTTCCTCAATTGATTCAAGGATGTAATTCACCAACCTTGAACGATAAAAGGTCTTCAAATTTTTTATGATGCCCATGTCCATTGCCTGTATCAAAGATGTGGTCTTGGGAGGCAGAAATTCCATCTGGATATTCTTCAAGAAATCCAAATTTGAATGTGCTGCACAATTGTCGAGAAGTAATAACACTTTTCTCGACTGGCGTTGTAGCTCTGTGTCCCAATCCTTCACCCATTCTTTAAAAAGTGTAGAGCTCATCCACGCATTTCTGTTCGCACGATACACAACTGGTAAACTGTCCATTCTGAGTCCCTTAAAGCAGCGAGGCTTGGCACATTTTCCTATAACCAGCAACTTCCTCTTGTCTGTTCCGGACATGTTTGAGCAGCACAAGACAGTTACGCGATCCATTGCTTTTTTGCAGCCAGAGAGAGTAACATGTTTGTAACTTAAGGAGCCGTCCAGTGTAGCCCTATAGTACAACCCGGTTTCATCAGCATTATAGATGTCATCTGCTGAAAATTTTTCAAGAAGCTCTGGTAGTTTTGTTGATTTCCATTCTTCAGCTCGAGCGCTATTGGCACTTTCTTTCTCACCATGTGCTTTCTTAAATTTTACATCATGTCTAGATTTCCATCGAGACAACCAGCCGTCCGTAGCTATAAGATCTTCGTGCCCCAGCATTTTAGCGAGTTCTTCTGCTTTGTACTTTAACATTGGGCCACTTACTCGCACGGCTCGTCCAGTAACAAAGGCAAACCAATCATTAAGGGCCTCATCGACGTCTGGATCCTTGTTTTCACGCTTCCGTTTTTAGGAAATACCTCGTCATCCTTCACATTGTGCCCATTCTTCTTGCTGATCTTTCTCTTGTTTTATCAGGCGCGATATTGTAGATTTCGCCAAGCAGGTAATTTCCACCAATCGACGCTGACTAGTGGTTGGTCCCTGTTCCTTGATCTGATCTAGGAAACGAATCTTCTCAGCTAACGTCAAGTCCCGTCGTGGCATTTTCTTAACATGCAACAAGACACGCACAGTTCACTGAGGTGAACTCGAGTCAGTCTCCCGGGTATTTCTATGGTTGACCTAGCCACCTGCTGTCCTATGATTTGCCCGACCTGTGTGTCCGCGATCACTTGCCGTGCTCGAGAGTAGGCCCGCAATGCGGGCTCACGGCATTCGGCTCAATGGACGTGCGGTACATCGATCGAGCGGTTAACGACATGTGAACAAGCATGTATGTCTTCGCTCCGCCTACAAGTGTTGGAAACTACAGTCAGTTTCGGGCGGTTCTGAAGCCAATTAGATAGATGTGCCTCAAGGTTGCCATAGTTCAGTTTATCCAAAGGCCAACTCGGATTACCGTAACTGAATGATACGCTTTCTTGCCCGACATATGAACTGTGTGTTTAGTCCAGGCATCCAGGCACAGAACTTGATTTTAACACCTCTGTTACCTGTCACCTTCTATCGTCTGGTCCGATTAAGCGGAATTCCGGTCCTAATAAGCGGCTAAAATTAGGCTAGCGTAATAGGATTCGTTTCGGTTCTTCAGAATTTGGCCCGAATAAGCGGCTGGTCCTATTAACCGGTGGTCCTATTAACCGGAATCGACTATATATATATATATATATATATATATATATATATATATATATATATATATATATATATATATATATATATATATATATATATGTCTCATGCTGAGGCTGATGTCGCATCCCTGATGCTTCTTCACCGCATTTAAGTTAAACCAAGTTACATTTAAACTCGGTCTTTTGAAGCTGAATTAATTTCCTTCCACTTTATTTGGTTAGTTCTGCCTACCTGAATAATCTTCTATTAGCTTGCACACATTGCTTACGCTAATTGCGCTAATCTTCGTTAACCTTTTCGCGTTTTTAACATTTTTGTGTAAGTTCTGTACCTTTTGTACTTATCACACTTTCGTTGCTAACCAACTTACTTCATATGCTAATTTAGCGAAGGGTTATGTTGGCATAGTCGTGTGTATTAACAGATACATATTATTTGCTAATATTATTTCGTGATTGGCCGTTGCTTGATGTCTCTGGAGTGGCTGCGCTTGATGTGCATGTTGACAAGGTGCCTACCTGTCTATTACCCACTACCTCGTCCATACTGGCTCTGGGAGACAGTTGGTCGTTGCTGGATGGCACGGGGTGCACCACCCTTGTGGCCGTGCTAGGCTCGAAGAATTGTCCCATTCACTCAGTGTGGAGTGGACTATGGTCCAGCCACTGCCTTATGTGTGCTTGATTCCCCAAATACAGCGTGTTTGTGCTTGACTGTGAGGCATTGTGGGCCGGCTCCGTTGATGAAACTTGCCTCCCATCTACATGCCTCCTGGTCTTATTCCTTCGGGTTTCCACTGGATATGAGGTATGTGGTTGGAGCTGTGGGTGTTGCAGTGCAAGCCACCCAAGGTCCCTCTGTAGGCGCAGGTGTCTTGTGGCTGTCTATGTGGCTGGTCACAGTGACAGTCAAGTCCGAAAGCAGATGCCACCAACCATCTATAGGGTTGACTGTATACGATCTTGGATTTGCATATCACTGCCACCCCATAGAACAACCACAGGGCGCGTGCACCTACACGAGGACTATGGGTGGTTTGTGCTACACTACCCACACGCCCCATATTCGGTGTAGACCTGAAGGAAGAAGACCGGTTGCTGTGCGGATTGGAGCCAGGTTACGTAAAGGGAGCCTGCCAACACTCCCACAACATGCACAGCAGCTACACTCCTGTTCATTTAATTCTGCGATTCTGCGTAACAGACGTACACATGGTGGTGGCTGGGCCGTAGCCCGTTCCGCACTGAATGGAACCACTCTTCGTGCCTAACAAGGCCACAAGGACCGTGCACCCCGTCCCTACCAGGCAACGAGTAACTGTTTCCTGGAAGCAGTATAGACAAAGTGGAGGGTGTTGTACAAGGAGGCACCTTGACAACATTCACACTAAGCGCAGTCCCACGGGGAGGTATCAAACATTCAACACAGTATATGAAAAAAATAAGCATCAGAAATCGACATTAAATATGCGGCAGAATGAAAGGAAAGTTTTAATCAAATAGGTGTGTATTAAATCTGATCCAGTATAAGCGAGATCTTAGGCGACTGTAGTGGCGAGTCAAGGGATATAAATCTTTCAAAAGAAAATAGGCCAAAATATACAGGGAATATGCGGACGACTAACAGAACTAAGTAAGGAAAAGATAATGCATTCAAATACAATGTGATACGGTGCAACAAACATACACCGCTTAAAATGCGAATGATGTGCGCAAACACCAATATCGACCAAATGCAACGAGAATGTAGCACACCTACCCCATCGAAGGCATTATTGACCTGGGTTATTAAATGGAATCTGACACAGCGTTTCGCTGATGACACACTATGTAGTTAGCCAACTCGGCTTCTCTTAGAGCTTGCCCCCCCCCCCCGTGGTCACGCTGATGGCTTACTAGGCCGGCACTCGCAACCGCGTATAGTAGAGCACCATGTATGGAGAACATTCGGACGTCGCGATGCCAATTCCCCTCCATACTCATTTCCCCTACTAAACATTACGACTATACTTCCTCATTTCGTCGTGAAACCTCATCTCCGCCTCATTCCGCCCTACATTCCCTAACATTGTTATCACCTCGCATTTCCACGATCCTAAATTGCCTCTACACATTTGTCTAACTTTGTTTACGATCGTCAACACTTTGCACTGCACCGATTAGGGTCGTTTGGTGATCTTCACCCTTCATCGATAATACATGTCCGCTGAACCTTTGTCCTCACCGGACGAGCCTGTCTGACCATTTCCTCCTTTGTCTATGTGCATCTGTGACTCAGTTGTTAAACGCGCTGCACAAACGAACATTACATCCCGTTGAGGTTTACCGAATCAGCATCCCTTTTTGGACCGGTGATCAGCCAATC